CTTGACAGGCAGTCGGAGTCATTGTGTTTACGGCCGGACTTGTACACCACGGTCATGTCGAACTTCTGCAGTCGTAGGCTCCACCGGGCGAGTCGCCCGGAGTAATCCTTCAATTTCGCGAGCCAGCAAAGCGAGTGGTGGTCCGTGAATACGCGAAACGGACTTCCATACAAATATGGGCGGAACTTTGTTATTGCCCAGACGCCAGCAAGACACTCCTTTTCAGTCGTTGAGTAGTGCTCTGCCTTAGACAGCGTCCCAGTCACGTATGCGATGACTCGCACTGCCCCGTCCTGCCTTTGGACTAGTACTGCGCGAAGTCCGGTGTCAGTGGCGTCCCTGGGGAAGGGGGGCGTCTGGTGTCTTCGCTTGAGCTCATCAAATGATCCCTGGTGCTCTTCTGGTCATTCAAACTTTACGGCGCCCTTCGCGACGGGCGTCAGCGGTGTGGACATCTTGTCGAAGTCTCGAACAAACCGTCTGTAGTAGGCACAGAATTCGAGAAATCTTCTCACGGCCTTCGTGTCAGACGGCGGCGCAAATGCAGCTACGGCGTGGGTCTTTGGGTCAGGAAGAGCACCTTTGGTGTTCACGACGTGGCCAAGGAACTTTAGTTCACCATAGGTGAACCGACACTTTGTTGGCTTGAGTGACAGGCCGGCGGCCTTGATGGCTTGAAGCACGGCATGAAGTCGTTTCAGGTGATCGTCGAAACCCCATGAAAATACCACGACATCGTCCAGGTAGACGAGGCAGCTCTGCCATTTCAGATCAACCAGCACTGTGTTCATCACACGCTGGAGGGTGGCTAGTGCTGTACATAGTCCGAAGGGCATCACATTGAATGCGTAAAGTCCGTCGCGAGTGACGAAGGCAGGTTTCTCGCGGTCGCGTTCGTCGACTTCCTTCTGCCAGTAGCCACTCTTCAGGTCCATCGACAAAAAATATCGGGACTGGCGCAGTTGGTCTAACGTATCGCCGATCCGGGGTTGGATAGACGTCCTTAGTCACAACGTTCAGTCGACGATAGTGCAACGCAGAACCTCAGGGTTCCGTCATTCTTTGCAAGGACGACGGGCGACGCCCATGGGCGTCTTGAGGGTTGAACGATATCGTCGTCGAGCATTTCCTGGACTTGATCTTGAATCACCTTCCTTTATTTAAGGAGACTCGACGCGGCGACTGGTGGGAAAGATTAACGACTTCGGCGGTGTCCCGGAGCAGAGCATCCCAGACCATCATCAAGGAACATCACTCACCAACAACCAAGCGCTGCTGAAAACCAGACAGCGCCAAGACCTTCAGCCACACAAGGACGGACTGAAAGTGAGACAATTTCTGACTTGTATATTTGTGTATAGCTAGAACGTTTCTTATTTTTGTTAATTTTTTTTTAATATATATATATATATATCTCGATCAAACCTCACGGTGTGACTGAATTCTTCCTTCGGCGGTTTGACCTGAACCAATAACATTACAACGTGCCATACTCGCAGAGAATGTCCATTTCCGGGATAACGTCCCTCGCACAGTCTTGCAGAACGACGAATTGCACAGGGCACGTCAGGCCGTGACTTTCGACGCGAGCAGTGCACCTTCCGACAGGCGTTATGAAATGTCCACCAGCGGTTCGTATCTGCAGCCCATCCCACGGCGTCGTCACTTTTCGAAGGCGGCGAGAGAGCCTCGCACTCAAGACTGAGTAGTATGCTCTCGTGTTCAGAAGAGCGGATCCGTCGTCGCCGTCGACAACGACGTTCAGGTTGTTGGGCACCGTTGCAGGAGCGTCGTTGCGATTTGTGGCGTCAGGTGAGTGGGAGCGCTCCGGAGTTCTTGGAGGCTCTTCGATCGTCTTCGGCTACTTCACCAGCAGGCGTTGCCGCACTTCGTTTTCCTGGCGACAAAGGAGAGACAGGCTCCCTCGGTGGGGTCGTGGCGCTGGGACCGCTGAACGTCGTGGCGATGGGGAGCAGGATTCACGGCAGTGAGACGGCGCTGAGGAGGGCGAGCGTCGGAGGGTACTTCGCAATGCCGCGAGGGAGTTCATCGTAACTTTTGCGTGGGTCGGTCGGGTGGAACCCACGCAGCCCCATTTGCCGGTAAGGACAACGGTGTCGGCTTCCTCGCAGTGGTAGCACAACGAGCGTCGATCGGCCGTTCTCCACACGTCGGTCTTCCTCGCCGGGGGTCGTTCCGGGCGGACGTCCTGGACTTGTCCTTCCTGGCGCCGAGGATATTTCGGCGTCGGAGGATCTCGTCGAGGTGGCGCCGTGGCCGGCTTTTTGCTTGCGGTGGTTGTTGGGTCAAGGCGGCGTAGCTAAAAGTTGGTTCTTTTGGCGCCGTCGCGTTGATCGGAACTTCAGGTTGGAAGGCTAGGTGAACCTTTCTCGGACGAACTTGGGTAGCGACAGTGAGGACGGACGATCCGCAGGGGTAATCATCTTGCGAAATTCTTCCCAGACGACTCCACGGATGACGTCACGGATGCCGGGGAGGTCGGTACCAAGGTCGGATCCGAATGTCGCCAGAGTAGTTACGCCAGGGTATCCCTAGTAGTGTCTGGCGTGTGCTATTAGGGCCCGTTTCATATTGATATTTTTCGCCTCCGTTACGGACTCGTCGACTGCACTCTTAAAAAAAAGGAGTAGCACTTCGTCCTTTTTGGGGACTAAATCGATGTCACTGAGACTGATCCCCCAAAACGGCAAAACCCCGGTTTAGTCCCTACACTTTCTTTTAGTCCCTTCCCATTGATCGCTTGAGGTCAAAAGTTTGAACCGTTAAAAGGAGTGCTTTTGATCCCTACAGCAGGGCATCAGGGACTAAGTTTAACTCTTCACGGGATTAATTATGGTCCCTTGAGCGCCGTCGTGTTTATAATTGGGGGAGTAACTTTGATCCCTTTGGGGATAAACAGTGATGATTGGGGAACTAACTTTTTTTTGACTGGGGACTAAATTTCGTCCCTTTGGGGGTTAATTTTGACCCTTTTAGGGATGAATTTTACTGTAATGAGGGAGTAAATTTCGTCCCTTTCAGGATCAATTTTGACCCTTTTAGAGATGAACTTCATAGTAATGAGAGAGTAACTTTCGATCTTTTGTGGACGAATTTTGACACTTTTAGAGACGAATTTACTAGTAATGAGACCCTTCAGCTGTGAAGAGGAGTGAAAGGTTTGCGGCATTGAACAGCTTCCTATTCAGAAAAGGCAGATTGTGCAAATTGTTTGAAAAGGTATCTCTTCTGAAAAGTTGCGCAGAGTGTCTTTTGAGAGCAGGGAGGTATTCAATACCGCAGACCTCTCACTCCCACTCACAGCTAAATATTGCAGTACATCTGAAAAGTCGCGCACCTTTATTTGGAAAAAAGCAAGCCTTTGTTGTTAAACAAGCTGCGAAGACTGGATATGCGGACAACACTCGTAGAACTTTCAGGCAGGCTTTAACAGCTAACATCATCATTTTACGAAACACGTTGCACCAGCTATCTATAGAAAAAAAATTAGCATTTTCATTGTGGAAATATATTTATTTTAGTACTACACAACACTGAAAATGAAAACAATTGCAATCACAAGAAATCATACAAGAAAATACTGCCATTTTGACACTGAAGGACTTGCCGAAATTTCACATGACTAGCATATATACAGGCATCTACAATGGTTCTTAGTGCTGCAAAACGAGCCCGAAAAATTGGTGCCTGCACATTAAAAGTTAAAGCATTCAATGATCGTACGTGTTACCTCTTGAAATTGTAAGAAATTTCGCCTCCTTCCTGTGAAAAATGAGACCAACTTGCAAAGGAGTACGGTGGACATGCTTGCAGCGTTAGCAATGCTTGTAAACTGCGACGTCATTTTGTTCTAAGCACAGGAAGCAGAATGCAATCTCATCTGCTCGTTGTGCCTATCGGGAGTTACAACCATCGCTAACTCCATCACCTGCAGACATGACTGCTATTGACACTGGCCAGTTTGTTGGTCTTATTTTTCATGTGAAGGGAGCTAAGCTTTGAAATTTCTGCAGGAAAAATTCACACTTGGATAAATCTTAATTGAGCTTTCTGCATGCAGGATATGATTGTTCTGGCTCGGAGAGAAAAAAAAAAGCTACCAAGAGACATAAGATACTCGACCAGGCAGAGCACCGTCTGGTTAAAGCGCGTATTTACGAGTGTCAAGCAACACTCAAGAAGAAAAAGCTAGACTTGTTCTTCATTCGTCGGCAGCTTGAACACCAAATCCCAGATATCTTCCCATCCCTTCAGTCTTTCACCGAAAACATCGCTTCTACTTCTGCACAAAAACGACGGGATTCTCAGAAGGAGAAGCTCTTGAAGCTGAAAAAGAAACGCGAAGCAAGATACGGCTCCGATACTACCAGGTTCGTCACAAGTCTCTCCTCAAGGGAACTCTCTTTGGTCGAGACTGCTGTTTTGGCAAAAGGCAACGGCTTGAACGTGACGACGACAAAGCCGCCCATACTAAAGATTGTCGCCACAATAGAAGACGGCATCACGCAATTGAGCTCAAGCGCCCAGGAACGGGTCTGACAGAAAACGGTCAGCATTCTGTCGAAAATGCCTTTGCGTCAACTATACAACATATCAAGAGAAGAGTCGACAGCACTTCGGCAGCTAAGAGATGACACAAAAATTGTGCTTTTACCGGCGGACAAGGGTAACTCGACGGTCGTCCTAGATCGGGAAGACTACGAACGAAAGGTGGAGGATCTTCTGGACAGCTCGGCTTATCAGAAACGCAAGAAGGACCCCACCACACAAGTTCAGACAAATCTGAACAAACTTCTGGCGGGACTTTTCAAAAAACATCCAGAATCAAAGAACCTTTACCTACGGCTTATATGCCGAAATGGTTCTGCTCCTGGATTCTATGGACTCCCTAAGATCCACAAGCCAAATGTTCCCCTCCGGCCTATCGTGGATTTTACAACGTCACCGCTTCGGGCGCTAACCAACTACCTCCATCGCACCCTTTCCCCTCTCGTCGGAAGAACGCCAACTAATGTACAAAACGCCGGTCATTTCGTGGAGCTCGTTTCAGAACTCAAGGTCAGCACCGAGGACAGTCTAGTGTCATTCGATGTAATTTCACTGTTCACAAGCGTTCCAGTGCCCCTGGCTGTAGCCACAGCCAGGAACGCTCTCGAAAAGGAGGAAGATCTGAACGAAAGAACCTGCCTTAGCGTGGATGAAATATGCTGCCTCCTTGAATTCTGCCTTCACAGCACCTAATTCAGCTTCCAAGGAGAGTTCTTCAGCCAGACCAGCGGAACCGCAATGGGAGCTTCTATTCCGGTTACTACGGCAAACCTGACGATGGAAGCAATCGAACAAAGGGCGCTGCACCCATTTCCGGCTAGCCCCAGAGTGTTCCTACGGTACGTCGATGATTGCTTTTGTATCCTAAAAACATCATAGGTGGAAAACTTTTTAGCTCGCCTCAACTCCATCGAGCCGGCCATCCAGTTTACATTAGAGCTTGAAAAAAAACGGCACCTTGCCGTTTCTGGACGTGCTTGTCAAGCGAGTAGGTGAAGACATGGAGTTCACTGTATACAGGAAGCCGACCCACACTGGACGTTACCTTCGGTTTGACTCATACCACACTTCGAGTCACAAGGCGTCGGTGGTTGCGACCCTGTTGTCCAGAGCTCGGAACTTCAGCTCCTCAAAGAAAGATAAAGAAAGTGAAGAACAGGCTGTCATCACCGACCTCAAAAAGAATGGCTACACCAACAGCTTCATCAGCCGTGTTGCCCGTCGTCTTGGTCGCAGTCTTGAGCACCCACAATGTAGCACGCAGTCCCGCCCTAATATCCGCGTCTGTGTACCTTATATAAAGGGAACTAGCGAAACTCTGGCTCGTACGCTGGCCAAAGAAGGTATTCAGGTGGCTCACAAACCTGTTTCGACACTTGGGCGCCTAATGCCTCGTCCGAAAGACCGTCCAGCGAGAGAAAAAGCACAAGGCATTGTGTACCAGATTCCCTGTGCTGAGTGTTCCGCTTCATACGTCGGCGAAACAAAAAACCTCAAGGAAAGAGTCCGCCAACATAAGAATGACGTACGGAAATTCGATCGAGAGCGTAGCGCTGTTGCGGAACACTGCGAGGACAATGACCACCGCATCGACTTTGAAAATACCCGAATCCTGGATGTAGAAACCAACTGGCGGCAACGACTCTTTATTGAGTCATGACGCATACAGACCACACCAGGAAATATTAATCGATCCTCCGGCACCTTGCCCTCAGCATACGTCAGTGCACTACGACACTTAGAGAAAACACCAAAGAAACAGGCCCCTACCATAGAGGAAAACGAAGATGCTGATCCTCGTTTGTAAATAACCAACTTCGAAGAAAACGAAGGTACCGCACCTGGTTTGAAAAATAACCACCGTAAAAAAACGAAGATACTGCGCTACATTCACCGGAGAAGAAAAGAAAGAAGCTGCTTCTCCTTTAAATAGCCCCCCTGAAGAAGGTGCCGAGCCGGCACCGAAACGTTGGGACCCTACGATTTTTTAGGGATTGGTTGGCGTTTGCCCTTTATTCATTTATAACATTTAACCCAACTAGGCAGACGTCTGCCGAAATGTTCACCCTCAGCTCTTTTCAATGTCTTTTGTTTCCTTCTATAATGAAAATGACCGTAAAAACCGAACACCCTAGTAAAAAATCTCCCAATCATAAAATATGAGGCAGTAAAATTACTAGTATATTTATAAATTAAAAAAACAAAAAAACCTGGGATGGGTTTTTGACCTGTCGGAATATATCTGCTCAAGAAATTACTAATATATAGGATGGCTCAAGTCACCAGGCTCGAACTAAAGTGGACCGTAAAAATTGACGCCGGTAATTTGCGATCTAAACTTTTCGTCAAAGCTGTATTTCACAGGTCGGTTTTTTTTTTGTAAAATTATAAAGAGTAGCTTTTTTTCTGTAAAAAATAGGGCCAATAAACTTGCCACTCTCTACTACGCGAAGGCGACGATTTTTACGGTCCATTTTTGATCGAGCCTGGTGGCTTGGGTAACTCTATATTTATAAATTAAAAAAAAAAAAACAGAAAAAAAATCTGGCATGGGTTTTAGACCTTCAGGAATACATGTGCTCAAGGCTCAAGAAAGTAAAAAAAATGCTCACTTAAATGCGACTGCATTTCTTCAATGCATTACACAAGCACAGAAAACTTTCTTTTAACAACGTGTGTGAAAAAAAACTTTTTTTTTGTTTTTTTTTTAAATTTAGGCTGGTCAGCAGCCTTGTGCCCATGCAGCCCAGCTTTGAATGTTTGAGACCTACAAGTCTCAAAACAAACAAATGTGCGACGATATTTAACGAAGTACTGAAGGTCGAAAACCCATGCCAGGCTGAAACAAAGTGCCACAGCTTCCAGAGGGCCCTCTGTCTTATAAGGCTGATTTACAAAAAGGACACTGCAGCGCTCTCTTGAGGTCCTGGGACACACTGCGATGAAATAGACAGCGGTGCACGTCTGAAACAAAGGTTGGGAATTAAAACAAATCATGAAATCGAAGTCTTTCCAAAAAAAAGAGGCCTTCCCTTAGAGCAGATGCAGGTAACTGATGATAGACTAGCTGAAACAGGTTCAGTACATACTCCCTAAACCTAACACGCCAAACCAGTTACCCAAATATTGTTCTTGGCAAATCAAAGCTAAACTGGTCATTCAAGCAGCTGGAACATCTTCTCCAGGCTAGGTCATCATCGGGTACCCAAACTTCACAACGTGGTTCGACTGGTGAGCCAAGGAGTAGCACAAACAACGCAAAAGATGGACCATCTCCGGGCAACATTAAGTTTCGGGAGTACTGCGATATCCAAAAACTCCTAGATGCGTTTGCTGTATGTGCAAACGCTCTTAACACGGATGCATCTAATGCCTTGCATTATAGCCAGAAAGGTATTTCGTTTATAATGAAAAATTCAGCCTTCAGGCTCAAAATACAAACGTGAGATTGTCATTTACAGACATTGTTGATCATATTCAGCCTATTTCTGAACACGACGGGTATATTTCAAATTTTGTTAAGTATCCCTTTAAAATACTTTCATACCACATAGCACAGACACTTCAGGATTTTTTTTTTTGTCCAACCACCATCTACACTGTACTCCGTTTCACCTTAGTCAGGGCGCAGCGGATACTGCGAGCCATCAAAGCAAATACCAAGCCGTGCGAGTGTCATGTGTCCATAGAGAGCGGGCGCAGCAACATGTGTTACGTTCAAAGAGCACGATTAGCTGGGATTGCTCTTAGCACCCGCTTCATCCGGACAAAGGGTGAAGCAGTATCACCATGCAGCCAAATCCTACCAGGCGAGAAATAAGGGCCTGATTTTGTTTGATCATATGCACACAGTTAATGAACAGATTAATCACCGATGCTAGTAGATTTTTTTAAAACCAATCCATTCAATTTTGCTCAGTGCCAAGTGTCACGGCAATTCAACACAAAATATGAAGGCTGTATTTAAGCATCACATCAGTAATGTAAATTTATATTTCCTTTTTAAATGCAGCCATTGACCAATTTTGTTTTAATATAACTCATCACCAGACGGCCAATCACAATTTAAAATTAATGTACAGAATCATTTGTAATTTCAGATGCCGTACAGCTCACTGTTTGATATCTCAAACTTAATTTACATAGTTTGCACCCACCTATCACATGAACTGGGTCGGCACCAATTTGGTTGCAATAGAAAGCTAGCTGGATTGGGACTTCCGCTAACAGTCAATTAAGGCTAAATTCTAAAGCAGGTATACCTTGGTTCTCCGATTCTTTAACATCAACCCTCCTTTCAACTGTCTGGTAGAAAATGTCTGGCTTTGGCTTGCCCTCTGTCAGTTCAAGGACCATCGCCAGGTTTTTTGAGGCAATTTAAAAAAAGCGTTGCTTGGCATCAATGCTTGTGATGCGATGAAACTCGGCAAAAATCTGAAATAAAAAAAGCTGATCTTTAGTCAACCTATAAATCGTAAACTACCTTGTAGAAAAGCAGGAGGCAAGAAGAAAAGGTTCCCATTTTGTTATGTTTTTGTCAGTGGGATAAAAAAAAGACTCGTGGTGCTTGCTTTTGCCATGGAGGAAGTGACAGTTAATAAGGCTATGGTGTTGTTATCAGTTTTCTGAAAGTAATCTGTTCCAAGCACATTTCATTATGCTTGTGATCACATTTAGTTTTGCCCGTGCTTCGACAAATGCTGTTAATATTTACTTTAAAATAAACAAAAAATAAGAACAAGTATGAAGTACCCCAATTCCCCACATAAGCCAACTAATTCAGAATGTGCAGTGTTTTTGGTAGGCCAGTTTCGATCAGATGCATCTCAGCTGCACTAAATCTCTCTCAGCAGGAGGAACCTCCCAAAATATAAAGCTCTTTGCTCGGATTTCTAGCCCTCCGAAAGTATTTTCTTATAATGCAGCTATAAAAAAGGCAAGCAGGAACTGTCCTATGAAGAGAATTGTTTTTTTAAGTCATGTTGAACTTGAATAATTCCCACTGATTTGAGCAACAGGGCAACGACAGTCTGCTTGCTCTCTTGTTCTGTTGAAAACTTCCAACAGGTTGGCAGGGCAGTGCCATTTTAAACCTTGTTATCACATTGGGTATGCTCTCAGATCCAGCCAGCTGTCGATCATAAAACTGGTGACCATGCTTTCTGCACATACTCATGTGCATGACGGCAGGGTCAGGTACTGAAATACTTGTCCATTGAGCCCATAGTTTCTGCGAAACCGTAAGCTGAGCCCTTGGAAGGAAATTAATAGCAAAACACGAACAACGGCTTCATTTACTGCAAATGAGCTGAAAAAGAAAAGTGTAATACAACAAAGGGTAAAGTGCACCTTTTTTTATATCTTCTGCATCATGAAGCCTTACGATGATCTCGCAGAACAGGGCCGGTCTTGGTTTTCCCTCAGTCACCATGAGAACAGTTGGCAGGTTTTCTGAGGCAA